TGTCCAGGTGGGATTTTTTTAAATCCTTTATTTATTTAATTATTTTCTAATTACACTTAAAAGTCTGCAACCTGAATTTAAAAAAAATCTCAGCCTGAAACAAGAAATTTATATTTTTAAATATTTTAATTTATTATGAATATAATTCAGTAATAATAATAATAACAATAATCATTATAATAATAATAATTTAATATTATTATTTGCTTCATTTTCAGTATTGCGGGGACACGAGCCAGTTTAAGGGTGCATGTATATCTGGCTGCAACAGCAGGGAGAGCTGAAATAATTCCCAGAGCACAGACAGAAACATTTCCTCAGGCAGAGTTCCTCAGAGCCAGATTCTGCATGGAAATGAGTCGTGAAACGCGGCGCACTTGGAAACAGAAATCAGCAGGTTTAATGTCCGCCCAGCACCTGTCATGACTTGGATGTTAATGACGAGCACGATGAAGAAGAAGAAGAAGAAGAGGAAGAAGAAGAAAGAGAGGACATGCGCGACGGAAACAAACGAGGATGTAAAGGAGTGGGCGACATAAATGTGCATGGGTTTGACCTGTCAAAAGAAAGTTTAAATGTGCCGGGTAAAGACCACATGTGACCAAGGTGACCAAGATGATAGAAAGCATGAGCAGGGCGATAATTACAGTATAGTTTATGGCTGGCTGCCTTTGCCAAAAACAGTAATTGGAGCACATCTCTTCTTTTAAAGCACAGAAAGCGTTCAGCTTGGAGGATGGAGGCAGTTGTGAAAGCAGTGATGGATACTATTGTCCAAAATTTGACCCTCTATTAACATCTCTTGGCAGCATCTGGATGCTGTCACCATGGAAGAGGACAAAAGTCATTTTCTCAACATACCAAATCCCCTCTTTTTAAATGCCTCCCCCACCAATAAATGGGTGGAGGCCAGCCCAGAAGCCCAATCTCTTCCTTTATCGCTCTCTACACTACCACCTCTCCATCCTCCCCTTTGTTTTGCAGGTGTCTCCAATTACCTGCTAATTTGCCTCTAATCTTGGCACAATTCTTAATAAACATGTTTATCCCCCCTAAAACCAAAGTCGCTGCAAATCTGAGCGAGAGCGAACACATAGTGGTGACATTCTCCTCCGCTGTGCCATTAAACAATGTGCTGATTTATTAATTCCTGTGTAAAAAAAAAAAAAAAAGTATTGCAACCCAAGAGGGAAGTGAGGAGTGTCTCTGATAGATGCAGGCTGTCGGGTGGCATTTCATTATAAATTTTCTTGGTGAAAGATGAGTGCCAAGGACCAGTCAATTCAACACAGACACCAAGAGAGAAAGAGTGTTGCTAAGAGACAGGGATGCTGCACAACTTCCATCAGGAGCTTGACTCTGACCTTATGCAAATTGGCTTCTGCCAAATCTTTTGTGTGAAAGCAACTGCGATGTCACTAATACCTGGCCTAAAAAAAATGCTTTAATATCTAGATTCCTCTCAGAATAAAAAAAAAATGCACTTTGGAAAGTGTAACAGTGCAACAAATCCAGACCCCGGCACACTTGTTAGGGTTTTAATTGAAATAAAGGAATGACTGAACGTCTAAATGAAGTGTACAAATGAAGACTGGGGGTTGCTGCTGTAAACCTGTAATTGAATTTGTCTGTCTGCTATGAAAGTGTTTTGTTTTTTTTTCATGGAAAGAACGCTCTGAAAACTGTGGTGATATTTAGGAGCTGACATGTTTTTAAAATATTCTATGTATGAAAATTCAACCACAGTTTATTACATGTAACTGGAAGAAAGTGCTGCATCTTTAAACTGTCTTTATGCTGCTCGGTAAACCAGATGCATGACATTTTGCAGGAGGTGCATGGATTATTCACATGTGAGACATCAACACAGTGCAGTTTTCTTGACCTGTGTGTCATTTAACACAAGAATGATAATGATGGGTGGGGGGGTGGATGGCTGGAGAGGGCAGAGAGGTTGCGACCTGTGAGAGGGGCTGTATCAGGTTGTGGCAGGTTATCTGAAGTGGACGCTGATAATGGCCTTTTAGACATGCCAGGTTTGATCCTTTCACCACAGCTGGGGGGGGGGGGAGTCAATCAATAGTCTGAGTAGATCAGTGATATGAGGTTACTGTACGAGGAACTAGTCAGCAGACAAACAACAACATCGGCACAGCGGTTAATTGGCTGGACATTTGACGGGGGTCAACATGAGAGAGAGGAAAAAAGGTTATCAATAGGGAAAATGTTATACGCATTATGTCGCAGGGCGTTAAAAAAATCAAATCAATCGCATATTGATTCCACATTATGTTATTGGCTCTTTATGCAAAGAAGCATCTGGAAATTTAGAAATTATGATCACAGCGTGCCCTTCACAGATTAACTTGTGGGTGCAATGAACACAACTTCAAGGCGCGGGCATAAAATAGCCATTTTAATCAAAGCTAAGTGAAATATAGATCCCTTCCCTCTCGTGGTGCTTTATATTATGCAGAGAGAAGAAGAAAAGAGAGGCAACACACACACACACACACAGAGGGAGAGAGAGAGCAATACACTACCGTGTTCAAAGCCAACCTTGTCAATAGTACTCACAGTGGGCTAGGGGAGTGTAATAGCACTTCCCTGATTCTACATTGATATCATATAATCCAGTGTGCCCTGTTTCAGTATCATATTTATCTAACCTGCTGGGGGACAGGGTAAGGGGGACAGTGTCCCTGCTGCTAGGAGCAGACACATTACACACTGCCTCGTGTATTCTTATTGATTACTCCCACCCCACAGCCCAGGGACCATAATTTAACTCAGCAGGCACTACAGTTAATACTGGAATTCAAACATTCCATCTACACTTCAAGAGACAAAAACAATTGACACTTTAAAAATGTGCAGGGCCTCTCTAAATGGGATCTGAAGGGAGTGGATCTCCATTTTCTGGTCTGTGCTTTTTTTTTTTTCCCTCCTTCTTCCTCCTTACTACTTGAGTCTCCTCCTGCCTGTGCAGTTACTGTATTGTTTCAGAGAGGAGCTGCGGATGAAGTGCTTTGGCAGAACTAGAATATGTTAAGGAATTTGATCGTTCTATTTGGATCATTTGTTTAACTTTTTCTCTTTTGCAGCTAAATCCCCAAATATGTGGATGTGATATGTGAGAAAGTCTGACAATAAAAAGCAAATCAAATATTTAACTTTAATTTGTTATATCAAGTTTGAATGTTGGAATTAATAACAAAGGAGTGGGGTAAAATAAAGAGTGTGATCAGAAGCACAAAGGCGACAGCAGTGATGTAGTTTGTCTGCATTAAAACTGTTTTTAAACCTAAAGAGCGATCACAAGATTGAAACTATGTCACCACTGGACGTCTGTGAGATTATACAAATTCAAAAATTGAATACAATTGATTTTTTTGTGACCAGAATTTCCTCAAACATCTGAAAAGCTCCTGCAAGATATGAAAGTGTTACCATTGGCTGGTTTGTGCTACGAAATTATTACAATACATGTCGTCAGAGGGGCGTCAGATCAACTCATTATTAGAACTTCATCAACCCTGGTTAACTGTCTGATCGTGATGACTGGGTCGGTTAAAGTGGCATCCAATGACATTCATGAAGCCATGTGAAGAGAGCGAACAGTGGGGGACATTCAAACAAGAAATGAAGCTGGTTAATATCAGTGAAACAGACACTGGAGGAGGGTTATGTGAAGAAAATTAATATTATTACTACAGCATTATCTTGATACTGGTGCATTTTAAAGTTAAACTCATCTCTTCCTATTAAGACAGATGTATTGAATTTTATACTTTTGAAAAACACAAGAATGATCTCATCGATAGGATTACACATCAAATATATTATTGAATTATTACCTGGCTTTAATTGAAACCAGCTAACATTAATAAACAAACTCCAAAAATGTGCATCATGTCTACAGGTGATGCCCTCACCTGCATTTACATTAATTAATCTAAAGAGCATGACAAATACTACCAAAATTTGTATATGTTGATTCCCAAAGTGATCAAACCTGATTTTTTTAAACGTATGAATGTGAAGTCCACACTGCCATGCCTTTTTTTTTTAAAGCTAAAATGAGCATCAGTGGGGATTAATATGCATTAATTAAATTGACTCTGTTTCCTTTAATGAGAGGGAAAGGATTTGATGTTAATGCTGTTGATCTCACAGAGGCTTCAATCCACCTAATTAACCAGTATTTCTGCAACACACTAAAATAATCAATAAAAAAAAAGATATTTCATCACTGCTATGGACTGTACGCTCAGATATCCAGATAATTAAAACACATCACATGCTAGCTCACCTTAGCAATGACAGAAATTGGATTTTTCAGTTCGGAAACATGTTTCTTTTTTTGTCTTTTTTGGTGGGAATAATTAAAGCATGTCTGTTTTATCTCAGCTCTTAGTCATAGTGTGGCAGCACTCACTGTTGCATCTGTGTTGTGCAGAGATAGAGCGTCTGTGGAGGGCCAGGGAGCAGACTCCAGAGATCCATCCATCTCAATCTGAGGCTACAGCTGACACCTTACAAAGAGGTACAATTAATAAGGGCATTATCCAGCAGTAGGCAACAATAGAGTCCTAACGCAGAGACACCAACCTCGGGAGGCCCGGCGAGGAGAGAAAGGGAGCGTGTGTGTTTATGGGTGGGGGGAAGGGCGAGCCAAAGTGCTTCAAAATGGGATGCATTACAACCAATGTCTTCAGAACATGAATTACAATCTATTATAACTGAGCCTTATGATAGATGGTACCAGCTGCTTTGTGTGCTAAATGGGTCACTTCCAGCAGCTCATCCTGCACTCTTTAGGTAGTACTTTTAAAGCTCTGCATCTGTAATCTTACAAACAAGATTAAATCTTACAAACAAGATGTAAATCATTACAATAATTCATATTTTTGCGTTATATAAAGTGCATAAAGTAGCAAATTTAAGGCTCAAAAAGGTGAGTATAAAAGCGAAGAAAGCGTGTATAAAACACACCTTTATTGCCGTTTGTTTGATGACAGTCGTTCAGTTTTGTCGTGGCATCATAAGCAGGAAACCTGAGATATCAAATACAGCCTAACTGATAATGGAGCTCTCATGAAAGTGTCCTATTAGTGCAGGTTGAGTGCAGCCCTATGGTTCACAGGGGAGAGGGCGGAGACGCCGCTGCACTGACATTTACAGCAATCCAGGAGTTGTTTGTGGTCACTGGACTGGAGACAAACGCTGAACCCAAAGGTCAGAGGTCGGGGCTAAATTTCATCCACTGTGGAGGTCCCTCTGTTGGAAAAGACAAACAGAGAAAGCAGCTGAGGTGTGAAGTGCTCCTGCTGTCGGGGAAATCAATCAATCGTCATGTATAAACACAACCCAGACCAAAGGAATATAGGAGAATAAATGCTGGTATAAAATTGTAAAAAAAAAAAAAAAGCAAAAAAAAAAGGGAACAATAAACACACACGGATCAATACGAGACGCACTGGCATGTGAAACAATGGTCTGGGAACGTATTCTTAAATGATGAACTCTAATCACTTCTAAGTCTGTTCCAGTTTTTATACAGGCGGTCAAGAGTTCTCCACGGTGATGGTTTTATATTTTCCTGCTCGTTCCGTGGGGGAAAGGATGAGCTTGGTTATGGATTAACGCTGTGATCAATAACAAGATAGGAGTCCGGCTCTCTAAGCTGGGGAAAATTAATTCGAAATGCAGTCAAACTCTTATCGACCCGGAGCCAGGGGTTGCTTTCATTGCAGGTAGTTGATAATCCACCAATATTGTGATGAGCGGCTAATCTCTCATTTTAAATATGACCTCCACTGCTCATAATAAAAGTTAAGATTGGCCATCCATTTGTTGTCCATAGAGCGTGACGTCTCTGGAGCCAGATTTCTCTGTGTGATCTGAGTCACTTCAGAGTTTAAGTCAATTAAACAACTTAGATATCTTGATCACTGACAAACTAATCGAATTGTCGCTGACATTTTAGTGCTCAGTTGAGAAAAATGGTTTGGTTTACATACTTTAACACAAAAGGATCCTCCATCACCAGTTTTAAACATCATATAGGCACAACAATGCAAAAGAAAACATAGAAATATGTTCAGGTTTGCGCACTTTGCTGCTGCAAAAAGAAGTTTATGCAGGAAATGCAAGAGCGATATCAAGAATTAAATCTCATTAGACAAATTTAAGGTTTGCTAAACATTCAGGATTATCATTTTGAGCTCATTTGCACCACTAAGTGCAAGATTACACTCAGAAATCATATCAGAAACATCTATGTTTGTTTTTTGCCAACTCAACTCGCAAAGGCGAGTTTGGAAATTGTAACGATTTAATTTGCCTCATCGTTTGCTTTTATTTTTAGTTTCATGAAGTAGAGATGAGCAAAATCAGCTAAAAAGCGAAGAACTTAAATTTTCCGCCTCCTATTTACACATTTTTACATAGTCTTGGAGGATCAGCAGCAGATTATGGTCTTAATGACGCATCTTAAATTTGATTTTAGACAAAAACTGTGTTTTATTGTAGGTAACTCCACAATCAATCGTTCTTTCAAATCAACCGATCAAAACCTGTCCCTCCGTGACATAAGGCAGCACTTATGATGCGTCTTGGTCACCTCCAGCCAAACATTATGCACCAACCCTTAAAGTGGTGTTACGCAAGTTTCACATCAGATGCAACACAAAGCAGGTTAATTGATGATCAACACAGTGTGACTTTAATGAGGCCCCGTTGCCCACGGCCAGGCCCGGTTCAGCATAGACGGGACTTTCTCATGACTGCTCGGCTTTCTTTGATCTTGTTTGCTTTTTCCACTGCTGGGACGATCATTGTTGGTTTTAATTACTTCACCACTAAATGGTACAGATGAAAGATAGGTGTCTGTAATTAATAAAATTTCCATAAATTTGAATCACTAACCAGTCTCATTAGCTCGTGCCTTTTGTCTCCACTGAAGTTCCCATGTCATCTTTTTCCAACTCTAACTATACAGAATAATATTACTTAGGGCAGGAAATCACTTGATATGCACCATATTTTCCGATAATCAAATTCCACTGTAGGTAATTAAATGCAGCGCATACTGTAGTCCTACTCCAATGATTGAGGTCAACCTGGAGAAAATGCCAATTGTTGTATTAAAACCGTTATAAAACTCATAAGTCTATTCAATTAGTCGTTTTCAGAGGAGCACAGGCATGTCGATTTTATTCAAGCTCAAATATGTAATCAAACTGTTGAAGAACCCATCTTTGATCATGTGTAATCAGGATCAGGGCTGTGTGGTACATCTCTGGGCCACAAACTAAATGAGTTGCAATGCTGCTGGCACTTACTGGGTTGGATGGTAGTCAGCTTGGCAGTAAGAGAGCTGTGGTGTTTTCACATGACAAAAAAAAAAGGACAGTTACACAGAGGGGTATTTCGAGGAGCAAACACCTGTTGTTTTGATGACTTCAAATATGTTTGCATTGGAAAGCGTGGACTCTGACTTCGATTCTGATCAGATATATGCTTTGAATATGAGCCTGACTGCTGAAATGTTTTTTTTTTTAATCACCCTTAAGGCAAACCTCTGTGATAAATGTTTCACATGTAGACAAGTTTCAAGCGAAACTCTTGAACGTATGAGAATACATACATATTTTCCAGCTCGCAGCGAAAAAAAAAAAAGCAATTTTTATTCAGTAAGTCAATCATATTAATAATTCAACACATTACAACGTAAAAAAAATCACTATTTTAAATATAATAAAGACATCCTTCCATCAGCATCATCATTTTTTTTTTTCTGTTTACCTACAGAGTAAAAAATGAAGCTATTCTCAATTATAGCAGACCAGGTCACACACAGGGAAGCAAGTCTTTGTTGCTTTGTGACAGAGCTCTATAATCTTGTGGAGAACAGCCTATCATTACCAGGCTGTGTGGTAATAGACTGACATGGATGCTATGGGGAGCAATTGATTCCACACATCAATCAGTAGGGAAACTCATCTTAACGATTGCAGAGAAGTGGCTTGTTTGTCCTCAACATCACGATAAATACTAACATGGAAGCCGAGCACAATACCTGCGGCTGAATGAAGGGGTAGTTACCCATCATAAGAAATTCATTAGTCTACACCTACTTTGTCTTGCTCCTGATATTTTCCAAACATGTCTAATACCTGCAAATGTATACTGATGTCGTCCAGCTCGGATGAAATGTTAAAAAAAGGTAATTGCCTCTCAGTAAACACAGTGAACTCTGTTTTATATCAGACCGTTGTAGCAACAATATTTTTCAAACGTTGGATTTAATTATCCTTGTTGTTAATAAATGATGTCAGATTTGCACTAATGGGGAAATTAAAGTATCAAAGAGAAGCGTGCATTCTTGAATTTTTTAAATGCTCGACAATCCGCAGTTTTCTTTACAGACTTCTGAAGGTTTTCCATCAATAAAAAAGAAGCACACAGCAGCAGCAGCAGCAGCAGCATCGCTCTCTTCCATCACAATTTCTCTGCTACGTCTTCATCCGTGGACATCTGTGCCAGTTAGTATAAAAGACGCAGCTGGATGCTGAGAATATACCATCTTCCACTCTAAAAGGGAAGGGTCCCACCTGATTAAGAAGGGCAAGGGAAAGACTTTGGCAGGCCAATGGGAGAGGTCAAGGATAGAGCAGCCAGTTTCACTCCCCCACCACATCATTTTTGTATGACAGCACCACCCTAAGGTTGAAGTTCACCGAGACTTTTCATGAACAGAGCGCTTAACGTCAAACACAAGATTAAAGCGGGGGTGTCGCATCTTGGCAGGACCAAATGAAAATATCAACTGCTAAGCCCCCCTCTGAAAAGCCAGGGGACAGGTATCTAATATTAGAGAGTAAGCCTAGTTAGCAAAGGCAGCCTGCTGCTTTCCACGTTCTCAGTGCTGGTCAAAAGGCCAGACTGGCTTTGGAATTGCTTTATTGGTGAAATATATTACAGTAGAGGCCTGCAGAACTACCTTATTAAGAAGGCAGAGAAGAGATGCCCTCGTGACATATAGCAGGAACTGAGGACATTTCCATATCACTGAATAAAATACAATCTTAGATTCTATTTTTCTTTTTTTTGTGCCATACAAAAGTCAAGCCAATAAAAATTTTGCATGAACAAACATTTACTGTGATATTCATATTTTAGAATGAAAAGAAAGAGCGTTTTATTACAGTGAAAGCAGTTTGAAGCATCAAAATAAGAGTTAAAGTAAAATAAAAAAGCTTATTTAGCATTATCGAATATTACTTTTCAACATTTTAAAGTCATACAGCTGCTGTGAATCTCACTTTTTAAACTACATTTTTACAAACGAACCAGGGCTGATAAAGCTGATAGTATATTAAGGATTTGAGGGGACACATTTTTAGGGAGAAGCCATTTTGTAGTACACAAATGACTTGTTTTCTTCCCTCACAGTGTAGCAACAGAAGCTGGTGCTTCAGCTCTTTAAGTGGCTTGGAAGCATAAAAGAGGCTTATCTGCCCCTCTCATTTTTTCAGCTACATAATCAGATGACCTGAGGAGAGCTAAAGAGAAACAAAGACAGACTATCTATCTATCTATCTATCTATCTATCTATCTATCTATCTATCTATCTATCTGAGACAAATTGTTTTAAAGGAACACAGCTGGGAAAAAAAGAATTCCCTCCTCACATTAAAATAATAAGAGGCAAAGTGCGCGACCTGAGTTCAGCCGACTTGGGGCGCGGAAATAAATTAATACACAGGAGTTTGACCACATGGTAACTGTGTGAGTGTAATGGCAGTGACATAAAACTTATCTGCTGGATTCTTTTTTCCTGTTTAAAAAATAAAGTTTTTATTTCTATTTCGGTGCTTTTTAATTTATTTAAATAAAGAAAAAAACATTGCAATCAATTAAAACTAGAGGAATATTGAATTTAATTGAATAAAATGATTTTAAGGTGATTTAGAAAAATGTCCCTCACACCACTCCTTCTTTTTAGTTTGACATTGTAGGTAAATAAATGGCTTAAAGATATTTTTTTTTCCATATGATCCTTGGCAATGCCTAGTTTTTTTTCCTGTAACATAGCACTATTTATAATCAGAAACTCTAGTAAGACATGAAGCTGATCTCGAAGGCTTTTCTATAATCCCTCCCCTGGAAGTGGTCTTTACTGGAAGGCTAGTTTGTGATGGGCTCACCCAGTAGCACAATGTTGCATTGGGATACAGCATTCAGCTTAAGCCAACTTATCAACTACATTCAAA